TTCGCGTAATTGGAGGAACGACAATTGCTTAAAAGATTTATACTGCACAATTTTCCCGTACAGATCTACAATCTACACTATAGAAGAACAAGAAGGACATTGGGAGATTTTCTTCGGTGATATAGACTGTAATCACCTAATAAAGTATTCGTAGTTATATATTAGATGATATGGTCGACGCTTAAAAATGATCTCATCAAGTTATTGTAATTTTCGGTTTGTTTGACAGTACAGGAAAAAGAATGTCAGTTTTAACTGCGATTCAAAATTGATATTACAAATTATAGTAAACTCAGTGCTGCCTGCAGGGGCGGCCTTTGAGGGCGGCGAACAGGGCAACCGCCATGGGCCTCGCTCTTGCAGGGGGCCTCGCACACTGGCGCAACAATCTAATTAGAAAAATATTAGGTAGTAATAGTATATACTACTAATGTTTATTTGAATTTCTTAATAGTCTTAAAAGAGGCCGCAAATTTGCTATCTTTGTCTTTATCAATTTTTTTTAATTTTCGATAAACAATTTTAAAATTGTAAACTTATTTATGAATCACTGCATTTTTCAAGTATCATCATTAAAATTAATTCCACAAAGACGAGGGCCTTGCAAAAATTTACCCTCCCGGAACCTTCCAATGACTAAGGCCGCCCCTGTCTGTGCCTACTGAAATATAGATAATCATTAAGTGAATGTGCATTATTTTTTTCAGAACTGCAGTCAGAAGAAATGGCCCTGGAGAAGGCGAAAGAAACGGAGGCCGAAATACCGGACACTCCAGAAAGTGATATAGACGTGGCAACTTTTAAAATAAAATATTTAGGTTTGTATCTAATTCACATTGTTCATATTTATGATATACAATCAATTATAGTTGTAAATACACGGCGCGATATAAAAATTTTGAATCAGTTAAATAAAAACCACTAAAAATGAAGGATGTAATTGCCGAAACAGTTCTCAAGGTTCACTTATAGCAATAAGGAACATTGTCCTTCGAGATGAGCCATTTTTTTCCTAAGCAGTATTTTTCGATTCCATTACTATTTTTTTTGCCAGGAGACGTCAAAATTGGCCAACATTAGTCTGTTCTGGCTAATTGGCTAATTCTTTATCGATTTTGATTAATGTTTAAAATTGAAGAAAAACTTGACGTTTCCCAGCGGAAAACTAGCCACACAATCGGAAAACTCCTACTACCTACTAAGGGTTCCCGTTTCCACGATTATCTTAAATTACCCAACTCGAAGGACAAATTTGCAATGGAGGGATTTTTCTTCTTTACAAAACGTACTTATGCCAAGTGCTCTCGTTCAACTGATCAGTTAAATTGTTGATATTTTGAATAGCTAATACACTTTTTAACGTTAGCATTCAAATTAGAAAAAAGGAGCTTCTTGATTTCAAAAGGAACGGCTAATTCAAATTAATTTTAGCATCTTGGCAGTAGTACCTTCGTTGAGATAGTATGAGTGCCAAAATTGTTGAATTTTATCCAAATATAACACTTGTACGTGGGGGTTGATTTTTTCAACTTTGTAGGTCACGAAAATGATTTAATCCAAATCATCCACTTTATAACCTTGACAGGTGCCTAATAATAACTTTTTTATTTGGCATACAATTAAGAGTTTTGCTCGTGTGACCAGAAATTACCTACATTCCAAACCTTTTAGACTACGCCGCGTATAAATTGTATTAAATTTTATCATGTGGACTTCGGAACTTTTTTTAACCTTGACTGAATAAAAGTGTAAAAAAAAAATAAAAACCAACTTGCATACAATTACCATATGATTCTCTATTTAATTTTTAATGGAGCGCTTCTTGGAAACGGCGGTTTTGTTGTGAAAACTACTACGACTTAAAAAACAAAGCGTGCAAACGTGTACCATGACACCAACAATGAAATAATATGGCGTTATTCCTTCCCCAAGTTCTAATGTGAACAAAAGATTCAAGACAAAAGAGGGTGACAATGTCTATATTGGTTTTAGAACCAACGCCAACGTTTCGCCTCTTGTTGGAAAGTTTTATCAAAGTAGATTCTTTTAGTTACCTTGATAAAGCTTCCTAACAAGAGGCGAAACGTTGGTGTCGTTTATATAACCGATAAAGACATTTTTACCCTCTTTTGCCTTAATTCTTTTGTTCGCGTTATTATATTAGGAGTTAATCTTTATGTAAAATTGCATTAGAAATTAGTAAATTGGCGAATTAGTTGCGGTCTCGTACAAAATAGACGTTCGTATTTTATCTGTAAAATTTCTTTCTAGGTAGCACAGTAGTAGAAAAAATATCTCCCGAAAATGCAACCACCGAATCGGTTAAAAACATAATGAAAGTTGCGAAGGCAGCTAAAAAGAAACTGCAAAGAGTAAATCTGGCAGTATCAGCAAAAGGAATTGCAGTTACAGATAATCAAGGAAACTCAATGTTCGAAATCTCCATCTACAGGTAAATTTCGATTAGTAATTTATAGAAATACCTAATTAAATAACTCTCCTTTTGTACCCACGCAGAATCTCCAACTGTGCTACAGACAGTAATTACAAACAAGTATTTTCATTTATTTCCACGGATCATACGGAAACGATGGAGTGCCACGCGTTTTGGTGTTCCAAAAGAAAAATCGCAGAAAGTGTTGCCCTGTCAGTAGCCCGAGCCTTCAGTAATGCCTACGAAAACTGGAGGATGTTACCGTTAACTCAACAAATCGAAAAGGCTGCTATCGAAAACGCGGAGAATTTGAAAAACAAGGCAAACGCCATCAAGATCGAAGACGTCAAAGAACCATCGGAGGATGGAAGTTGTAAAAACGAATCAACTTCTTCGGTCGAAGAGAAGCTTATCGATTTCGATGACGATGAAGACGATACAGATTTTCAAAATATTACATTCCCGCCACACAGATTTGTAACAGAAGTTCCAGAATCCAATTTAATCAGTCTTCAGAATGGTTTGATACCAATGAAGACTGCAGTAGGATGTACAGTGAAAAATGAGTGGGTAAGTAACACTTAATCATCATCATCATCACCGGAGACGTCTCTCCACTTCTTTCAAGCTTGAATCATTTCCCTAAAACCAGAACATCCCGCATCCCTAACTATTTGTAAACAATCCAATTTAGATTTACTTTTGCCCCTCTTAACTCCTATTTGTGCCTCTAATATGTCTCTAACTAGCCCTTGGTGGCTGAGAAGGTGCCTAACTAACCTTTCACACCTTTTTCTTATTGACTTTCATAAGGTCCACTGTTCTCCTAGTCTTTCTAATACCCCCTCCTTTTTAACTTTCCCTATCCTCGGAATTTTTGATTTTTTCCTATAACACCACATCTCCGTGCTCCAAACATACACTTTTAATAGTCTTTTTGTTATTTATGAATAACTTTAATATTCTTAGGTTTGCTTCGAGGACGATTTCGAACCAAAGACCACTCAATTTCCAAGCCAGCGCTGGAATTCTAATTCTAATCAAATTGACTTAGTTTTTGCGTAGTCAATATCTCTGCATAGTTTTAATATTATTTTATTGAAAAAGAGTCCCCTAAGAATGTTTTACCACGCACACAAAAATGATTAATCTATTTTTGTTCGTCTTAAAACCCCTTACTATTCCCCCTTGTACGCCGCCTATGGTAGCAAAATTAAATCAAAAAGCCACGTATAATCTAGCTTTATAGTGGACTTCGGAACTTTTTTTAACCTTGACTGAATAAAAGTGTAAAAAAAAAAATAAAAACCAACTTGCATACAAACATTTTTTACGTGTTTTGGGCTCTCTCTTTCCTGGATGTGGTGCCAAGTTCCTGGATGAATTCCATTTGTACTTCAGTTGGTTGTACTATAAATTTCGTTTATTTTTTGGCTTCTGCATTGTTTTTGAGTTTTTTGGTGCAATATTGCGTATGAGTCATTTTCAACAAATAAAACAAGCGAAAGAAAACAAATGAAAGACATTTACCTGTCACAAAAGTGCATACATGCAGCACACATATGTATATTTAACAGGCGCTTTTTTTTTGGCTACAACCGCGAATCTATAAATAATTGGCACGGTTACTTTGTCTAATAGATACACTTTACATTTAATGTGCGAAGACCTAGAATTTCGAACGTGAAATTGTGTTCAAGGCCCATCCTCGGCAACAAAGCTTTGTAAAGGACAAATAGCTCACATAATATTGTTATATCGCATAAATAAGTTTTGCTAATGGAAATATTGTTATTTGTTATGCAACAAATTCGTGTACAGTAACACATATGCAAATGTCTCAGTCAGTACCATGTTGTAATTAATGATCTTTTTTAGTGCGTTTTAGAGACGAGTCTTCCTGTTGCGCATTTGTTTATAAATAGAACATAAAGTACCACATAAAGAATCTAAGTTGTTTGCAAAAAAAAAGGCTGTTTATTAAACCATAAAATGACGAAGTAGATAATTAAAATTTGCAATTTACTAAACGTGGAGGCCAAAAAATTTCAAAAAATTCAAGTAGACAGGGAGTTTTGTATATAAATATCACAGACATACATATATAAATAGTACATATTCGTTATCTACTCTGTATATCAAACATGTATATATATATAGACATTATTTTGTAATTAGTTAATTACCCTGGTANACTTTTCCGTAAAACAAACGAACGTTTTGTTTTTTTTTTTCGTCGTAAAACTTTAGAGTTCCTGTAAGAGTGATTTTGAAACAAAGTTTCCGAAAGCGTGAAACAAAAGACAATATTTTCGTTCATCGTCGTACGATTTATTTTAATTTGTTATCGTTAAACGATTTTTTAAGCTGTAAAGACGTGTAGAAACCGTGACATTTCGTTCGACACACTCTTTCATTAGTCCTTTTAACAAATTTACTCTATTTAATTAACCAATGTAACCTCACAATTAGTTACGTAAACTGATCGTAATTAAACAAATAAATTATTCCGTTTTTAGAAACCCACCAAATTGTACTACATTATCTTATCCGTTGTAATAATAATATTTTTCTATCCCGATGCATTTAAAATACTTTATCACTCTTATTATTATTCATGGCGATAATTTCGAGGCTAGTACGGCCTAGCACATCGACGCGGCGGTCTAGACGCCTCTTTCACAACCATAATTAAATCTGAAACGGTTTATCAACGTGATACTACGCCGGCCTTATCTCAGTTCGTCTTTAAAAAATTTTCTACGTCGCCAATAAAACTATAAATATCCTTTGAACTACCTAATTAGACCGGCGCAGATATTGAAGGGTGCCATAAAAGGGCACCGTTATCATTAAATGTCGATCATCTGACAGGAAATGCAACAAACTTTACAAATAAATTAGTTTAATTCGGCTAGACCCACTTTTAGGCCTTTAATAATTGATTGCATCTTCTTAAATGACCAATTCACCTGCTAAAGAAGAAAACAATTGATTTGCTACTTATTGTAATAAGAACAAGGGAACGTCACGTTTTTTCGCTGTCTACGCATTTTGTTTGTTTGGTTGCATATTTTTCTCAATTTCTCAATAATAAACATTGTCGAAAGCTGTTTATTTGAAATTCATCATCAAATACGTCAAAGAGACAATGAAACTTTTACAAAACACGTTCGAAACGANATTCTCTATTTAATTTTTTATGGAGCGCTTCTTGGAAACGGCGGTTTTGTTGTGAAAACTACTACGACTTAAAAAACAAAGCGTGCAAACGTGTACCATGACACCAACAATGAAATAATATGGCGTTATTCCTTCCCCAAGTTCTAATGTGAACAAAAGAATCAAGACAAAAGAGTGTGACAATGTCTTTATTGGTTGTAGAACCGATATCAACGTTTCGCCTCTTGTTGGGAGGTTTTATCAAGGTAGATTCTTTTAGTTAGTTATCTTGATAAATCATCCCAATAAGGGGCGAAACGTTGGTGTCGGAACTATAACCAATAAAGACAGTATCACCTTTTTTTGTCTTAATTCTATTGATGTACAAGAGAGGGTCAAAAAGTCTTTATTGGTTATAGAACCAATGCCAACGTTTCGCCTTTTGTTGGAAAGTTTTATCAAAGTAGATTCTTTTAGTTACCTTGATAAAGCTTCCTAACAAGAGGCGAAACGTTGGTGTCGTTTCTATAACCGATAAAGACATTTTCACCCTCTTTTGCCTTAATTCTTTTGTTCGCGTTATTATATTTATTAGGAGTTAATCTTTATGAAAAATTGCATTAGAAATTAGTAAATGTCTTCCT